CTACTTTGGTTTTAACAGGAAGGGGATTAAAAACAAAAGAAATGCTAATTTAATTGAAGAAAAATAGGATCGTGGTTTGCTTGATTGATGATCATCACCGGGTCTGCGCTCCGATCTCTCTCATACAAACTCCGTCGTCTCGGCCGATGAGTCCATCGACTTCTCTCTAAGACCAATCGTCGATTTCGTCTCTAAAAGTAAAATTCTTCTTCTCCTCTTGCATCTTCCTGCTAGTAGCTTCGATTTCGTGATTTACTCGATAGATACAACAAGGGTTATTTGCTACATAGGTTTCCCTAATTCGTTGATCGCTTCGTAGGGTTCTGTGTCCTGAAGAAACAAGATGGCGAACGTGTCTGTTGCTGCGGAATGGCAACTTCTCTATAATCGATATTACAGGAAGCCTGAGATATACCAAATGAGATGGAAACATGTAGATTTGAGTCGTAACAAGGTTGCTTGTGCTTCTTTTGGTGGTCCAATTGCAGTCATTAGAGATGACTCTAAGATTGTTCAACTATATGCTGAATCTGCACTAAGAAAGCTACGAATCTTTAACTCAGCTGGTATACTCCTCTCTGAGACTGTTTGGAAACACCCTGGTGGTCGGCTCATCGGAATGTCCTGGTCTGATGATCAGACACTAATCTCCATTGTCCAAGATGGGACGATTTATCGTTACAACATCCTCGCTGAGCTCATCGAGCCTAATATGACAATGGGGAAGGAATGCTTTGAGCAGAATGTGGTTGAGTGTGTCTTCTGGGGGAATGGTGTTGTCTGTTTGACAGAAGGAGGGGAGTTGTTTTGTATTTCCGATTTTAAGACGATGAAGCCTTATAAGTTGGCTCATGTCCCGGGTTTAACGGAAGACGATATGCTGCAGCCAACTTGCTTGGCTGTGAGAGAACCTCAGTACACCATGTCTGGGAATGTTGAAGTTTTGGTGGCAGTTGGAGATGAGATTTATGTTGTGGATGAAGACGAGGCGCAAACTATTAGGTTCGATGAGCCTAGTGTTGAAGACTCTGAGATGCAGACTGATGATTATGGGAATTTGATTGGACCGGTGCAGAAGATGATTGTATCACCTAATGGAAAATTTCTAACACTCTTTACTCATGATGGCCGGGTTGTTGTAGTTGGCATGGAATCAAAACAAATTGCTATTGACTACAGTTGTGAGGTATATGCATCATTGCCTCTTGAGATGCTTGGTTCTTTCGTTTAGGGTTATATAATGGCAATTGCTATAATGTGGTATCTTAACTGTGTCTTTAATCGCATACTTTTTCTAGTCAGCCCTTCCTCCGCAGCAAATGGCTTGGTGTGGAATGGATAGTGTGCTGCTCTATTGGGATGAGGAGTTAATGATGGTGGGTCCTTTAGGAGATCCAGTTCACTATTTCTATGATGAACCTGTAATTCTTATCCCAGAATGCGATGGAGTGAGAATATTATCTAACACGAGCCTCGAATTTCTGCAAAGAGTACCTGATTCTACTGAGTCAATCTTTAAGATTGGAAGCACATCTCCTGCAGCTTTGCTATATGACGCTTTGGATCATTTTGACAAGCGAAGTGCTAAGGTAGGTTTATTACTGTAGACAACAAATGGAATGAGTTGAGAAGAATAGCTTACGATTTCTATTCCTAGTTCTGGGTGATGAAGTTGATTTGCTTTTCTGCTGTCAGGCGGATGAAAATTTGAGATTAATTCGTTCGTCACTTTCTGAGGCTGTTGAAGCCTGTATTGATGCTGCTGGCCATGAATTTGATGTATCTCGTCAGAGGGCTCTGTTACGAGCAGCAAGTTATGGACAAGCTTTCTGCAGGTTAGTCTAAAATGATTGAGTTTCAGTAATCTAACTTCTGTGACTGACACTCAGTTTGCCGCGACAGCAATTTTCAGCGTGAGCGTGTCCAAGAGACTTGTAGAACTTTACGTGTTCTAAACGCCGTTCGTGATCCCGATATTGGCATACCTCTAAGCATTCAGCAGTACAAGGTCTTTGTAATTTTATAATTTTCTCGACAAAGTGCTTTGTAGCTATACTTTCTCATGAAATTTATTTGGCATGCAGTTACTGACACCGGTAGTTTTGATTAGTCGCCTAATTAATGCTCATTGCCACCTTCTTGCTCTGCGGATATCTGAGTACTTAGGAATGAATAAAGTAAGTCAGATACTATTCTATCTTTACACTGCAACCGGTCCTATCTCCATTTTCTATCTTGCCTTAGGGTGATTGTGATTTTCTATTATATGTGTCGTATAGGAAGTGGTGATAATGCATTGGGCGTGTGCAAAGATAACTGCTTCGCCATCAACTCCAGATACTCATCTTCTTGAAATTTTACTTGATAAGGTTCAAATTCTAGTTTATTTTAGTCTCTGCTAATATATAAATATATGGAGGAAACACATGGACTTAGAAGGAACGGTGTTCATTGAATTTCAGCTCCAACTATGCAAAGGGATATCTTATGCTGCAGTGGCCACTCATGCAGATAACTGTGGCCGTCGAAAGTTAGCTGCAATGCTGGTAGAACATGAACCACGCTCCACTAAACAGGTTTGTCTATCTAAGATGAACATCTCCCTTTCGGATTCTCACCACCAGAAACATAATGTAGAAGTAAAACTATTCTTGTTAAAATATTTGTAAAAACTAAATTCACACTCAATATCATTTTCTGCAATTCCAGGTTCCTCTTTTATTAAGCATTGGGGAGGAAGACACAGCTTTAATTAAAGCAACTGAAAGTGGTGACACCGACCTGGTGTATCTGGTTATATTTCATATATGGCAAAAGGTGTATTACCGTTTTATTTTGATGTTATACTTCAACATTTAATATGTATATTTTGGTCACGAACAAGAACTAACTGTTGCTAATTTGTGGGATTGGCCAGAGGCCCCCGTTGGAATTCTTCGCGATGATACAAGGAAGAGTTTTGGCACGTGATTTATTTATAGCCTATGCACGGTAGGAAAATCTTCTTTCTAGCATGCCTGATTAATCAACTACACTGTACAATCTTGGTTTAACCAAACAGTTGTAGTCGATGTTATTTCGTAAGTATCTAACAGTGTTGTGAAATTTTTCCTGCTGTAGATGCCATAAACATGAATTCTTGAAGGATTTCTTCTTATCTACGGGTCAGATTCAAGTACGTTTCATGATCAAGTCTTTCCCTTGATTTATTCTCTTAGGTCAGAAGCTAAATCGGGCCAGTTTGTTGGATATTTTTTTCCTGTAAACGCTGAGGTTGACCATCAAATAAATGCTTTTCATGTACATATAAGTGTTATTGAGCTTGGATCTATGTGGTTGTTGCAGGAGGTAGCTTTTCTTTTATGGAAAGAATCATGGGATATGGGGAAAAACCCGATGGCTAGCAAAGGATCTCCACTACAGGGTCCGCGCATAAAACTAATAGAGAAAGCCAGCAACCTTTTCTCTCAGACAAAGGAACACACTTTTGAGTCTAAGGCTGCTGAGGAGCACGCAAAACTCCTGAGGTAATAGATTGTAAGCCAGTATACTCTTTTTACTAAGGCACCCTACCCTCTCGGTATTGGAAACTTGGTTGTCAATGATTTATTTGTTCATCTCATGGTCTCTTTCCTCGTATCTGTTGTTTTATATGCAACATGGTTTAGGATACAGCATGAGCTAGAAGTAAGTACGAAGCAGGCTATCTTTGTTGATTCAAGCATCAATGATACTATACGTACATGTATTGTCCTCGGTAACAATCGCGCTGCAATGAAAGTGAAGTCAGAATTCAAGGTCTAACTGGATTTTTTTCCCCGTTTTCTGGTATGTATGACCGTAAGAACGCCATCTTGACCACAGTGTTTTTTGAATTTTCAGGTTTCTGATAAAAGATGGTACTTTCTGAAAGCATTTGCTCTAGCTACAATTAAAGACTGGGAAGCACTGGAAAAGTTTTCAAAGGAGAAGAGACCACCTACAGGTAATCGTTAAAACATTTCGCTGTTAGTTATTAATTGCATCCTGTACTAGTCTGATATTAAAACTTGAGGACAAACAAATTCATTTCGGTCTAACTCGTGTTCGAACTGGCATATATCATAAAGGGTTCCGGCCATTCGTGGAGGCATGCATCGATGCTGATGAGAAAGCGGAAGCTCTAAAATATATCCCCAAACTGTCAGATCTTGTGGAAAGAGGCGAGGTTTGTTCTGCATATAACATACATACTCTTAGATTCGATGTTTTATAAAAATGATCAAATCCTTTAATATGAGTTTTATTTTTTGTTGTGGTGTCACAGGCTTATGCTCGTATTGGAATGGCGAAAGAAGCTGCTGATGCAGCAGCTCAGGCAAACGATGGAGGAGAATTACTGGAGAGATTCAGGAAGACGTTTTCACAGAATGCTATTTTCGATACTCTGAAAATGCCTTTCCAAGGAGTCTCCTAGCTTTAAGGACTCAACAGCGAGATCTCATTTTGCTCAGCGTGGAGATTTTTTTTGTGTTGATTGTAACTAAAACTCACAAGAGAAGTGTGTAAATTAAATGACGTGAGAAAAAAAGTGGAGCTGTTTCTCCAAGTTGTGTGTGTAACACCAAATAGTGACTCCATTTTGTTGCTTGCTTTCATTGCCAATTACATCATCCAAGTGATTCTATGTGTAACTCTTTTCTTCATTATATATTTGTAAATCTCAAATTTTCTTTTCATATCTGTTTATTTCATCAATTATACACCATTCAGGGACATGTTATACTTTGTTCATACAACTACAAAAGCGCTAGAAGAACCAGAGAAGCTACTAATGGAACCAAACAGAGACTTAGAAGCTCCGTAATGTCTTATTCTGTAAACTCCGGCAACCGCGGATTCCGGTATCCTCCACTCCACCGTGGCGTGGCTCTCCGGGCTCAGTTTTTCTGGTCTCGACCACTTAAACTTGAGACTAAAGTCATCGTCGTCGTACACTGGAACCCACTTCCCTCCATCACGCAACGTCTCAACCACCGCGAAAGATCCTTCCGTCATCAGATCGTTTCGAGGACATCCTGACCAGAACGTCGCGTTGACTTGTTGACCTCGTCTGAACGTTGACTTTGGAGGAACATCGGCTTTGACGTCACCGAAGCTGACTCCTAGAGGAGTAGAGTCAACGACCACAGGTGTTAGTAAACTAATCTGTTTGTCTAGAAGGTCAGGTGGTTGGGGACCACGTGGGAGTGTTTGACCGTTGACTAAAGCTGTGGCTAGTTTCTTAAACTCTTGTATATAGGCAGTGAGTGTGTGTGGTCCGTATAGCGTTGAAGCTCCCTGAAAAGTTAAACTTTCAAGCACCAGTGGCATGACTTGTAAGTAAAGGTGAGTCAAAAAGATAGTTTTTTCACGAACCTCGTATCTTTGAACCTCGTACTCTTCGAAAGTGGCGATGTATTGAGAATACGTGTTGGTGAGACCTGCGATTACAACATGGAGGTTGTTGCCAAATTCTTTGTTGTCCAAAGAGATGAGATAAGACTTTACGGCATCACGGAGACGCCTTCCAGCCATTGTTGTGAACTCTGGATCCAATAACATATATAGAAATCAGCGTTTCAGCTAGCATGATGCGTCTACTTTGTAATTAACATGATTGCGTTATT